ACAGCCCACCCCATAGCCCCCATAGCCCGCCCCCAGCCCACCCCATAGCCCACCCCATAGCCCCCCACAGCCCGCCCCATAGCCCACCCCATAGCCCACCCCATAGCCCCCCACAGCCCTCCCCATAGCCCACCCCATAGCCCCCCATAGCCCACCCCATAACCCCCATAGCCCGCCCCACAGCCCTCCCCATAGACCCCCATAACCCCCCCCATAGCCCGCCCCATAGCCCGCCCCATAGCCCACCCCACAGCCCGCCCCACAGCCCCCATAGCCCCCCATAGCCCCCCCACAGCCCACCCCATAGCCCACCCCATAGCCCCCATAGCCCGCCCCATAGCCCACCCCATAGCCCCCACAGCCCGGCCCATAGCCCCTGTAGCCCCCCCCATAGCCCTCCCCATAGCCCCCCATAACCCCCCCCACAGCCCACCCCATAGCCCCCATAACCCCCCCCATAGCCCGCCCCACAGCCCACCCCATAGCCCCCCATAACCCCCCCCACAGCCCCCCCATAGCCCGCCCCATAGCCCACCCCACAGCCCGCCCCATAGCCCCATAGCCCCACCTTGGCATCGGCCGGGAAGCCCTGGGCCAGGCAGTACCGGGCCTCCACCAGCTGCTTCGTGCGCTCGATCATCTGGCGCCCGAAGGCCGTCACGCTCTGGGGGGAGAGCGCTGCTATGGGGCGCTATGGGGCGCTATGGGGCGCTATGGGGCTATGGGGGCTATGGGGGCTATGGGGGCTATGGGGCGCTATGGGGGCTATGGGGCTATGGGGCGCTATGGGGTGCTATGGGGGCTATGGGTGCTAAGGGGCGCTATGGGGGCTATGGGGCGCTATGGGCACTATGGGTACTATGGGGTGCTATGGGGCTCTATGGGGCGCTATGGGCGCTATGGGTGCTATGGGGTGCTATGGGGCTCTATGGGGTGCTATGGGTGCTATGGGGCACTATGGGGCTCTATGGGTGCTATGGGGCACTATGGGGGCTATGGGTCTCTATGGGTGCTATGGGTCTCTATGGGTCTCTATGTGTCTCTATGTGTCTCTATGGGTCTCTATGGGTCTCTATGGGTCTCTATGGGTCTCTATGGGTCCCTATGGTCTCTATGGGTCCCGCTATGGGTCAGGCCTCACCTGGCTGACCTCCAGGCACGGCAGCCGCCCCGCCTGCGCCCCGGTGAAGCCGTACACGGAGTTGGCGCTGACCTTGAGCGCCCCCTGGCGGCCCTGCAGCACCTGGCACCGCGCCGCGTCCTGCTCCTGCGCCAGCGCCTGCTTCACCCTGCGGCGCCAGAGAGACCCATAGCGACCCATAGGGCCCAATAGGGACCCATAGAGAGACATGGGGACCCATAGAGACCCATAGAGACCCATAGAGACCCATAGAGACCCATAGAGACCCATAGACACCCATAGAGACACATAGAGACACATAGAGACACATAGAGACCCATAGAGACCCATAGAGACCCATAGAGACACATAGAGACCCATAGAGACACATAGAGACCCATAGAGACACATAGAGACACATAGAGACCCATAGAGACACATAGAGACACATAGAGACATAGAGACACATAGAGACCCATAGAGACACATAGAGACCCATAGAGACCCATAGAGACACATAGAGACACATAGGGACACATAGGGACACATAGAGACACATAGAGACACATAGAGACACATAGAGACACATAGAGACACATAGAGACACATAGAGACCCATAGCGACCCATAGACCCCATAGACCCCATAGAGCCCCATAGAAACCCATAGACCCCATAGAGCCCCATAGAAACCCATAGACCCCATAGAACCCATAGAGAGCCCATAGAGACCCATAGAGACCCATAGACCCCATAGAGACCCATAGAGCCCCATAGAGCCCCATAGACCCCAAGACCCCATAGAGCCCCATAGAGCCCCCATAGAGCCCCCATAGAGCCCCCATAGAGCCCAAAGACCCCATAGACCCCATAGACCCCACAGACCCCATAGACCCCATAGACCCCACAGACCCCACAGACCCCATAGACCCCATAGACCCCATAGACCCCATAGAGCCCCATAGAGCCCCATAGACCCCATAGAGCCCCATAGAGCCCCATAGACCCCATAGAGCCCCATAGAGCCCCATAGAGCCCCATAGAGCCCATAGAGCCCCATAGAACCCCATAGAGCCCCATAGAACCCCATAGAGCCCCATAGACCCCATAGACGCCACAGAGCCCCATAGACCCCATAGACCCCACAGAGCCCCATAGACACCCATAGACCCCACAGATCCCATAGCACCCCATAGCGCCCCATAGACCCCACAGACCCCACAGACCCCATAGCGCCCCATAGCACCCACCTGCTCCGAGCCTCCAGCAGCCCCTCCAGCACCTTTGGGAGCAGCCCCCGGCGCACCTTGGAAGTGACAAAGAGCTCCCCCGAGGGCGTCCGGATGTAATCAGTGGGGCCCAGCCTGGGGACGGGATGTGGGGGGTGCGCTGTGGGGTGTGGGGTCTATGGGGTGTGGGGTCTATGGGGTGTGGGGTCTATGGGGTGTGGGGTGTGCGCTATGGGGTGTGGGGTCTATGGGGTGTGCGCTATGGGGTGTGGGGTCTATGGGGTGTGGGGTCTATGGGGTGTGGGGTCTATGGGGTGTGTGCTCTGGGGTGTGCGCTATGGGGTGTGGGGTCTATGGGGTGTGCGCTATGGGGTGTGGGGTCTATGGGGTGTGGGGTCTATGGGGTGTGGGGTCTATGGGGTGTGGGGTCTATGGGGGTCTATGGGGTGTGGGGCTATGGGGTGACTATGGGGTGTGCGCTATGGGGTGTGGGGTCTATGGGGTGTGGGGTCTATGGGGTGTGTGCTCTGGGGTGGTTGCTATGGGGTGTGGGGTGTGGGGTATAGGGGTGTGGGGTGTGCGCTATGAGGTGTGGGGTCTATGGGGTGTGCGCTATGGGGTGTGGGGTATAGGGGGTGTGCGCTCTGGGGTGGTTGCTATGGGGTGTGTGCTCTGGGGTGCTCACTATGGGGTGCATGCTATGGGGCGCGCTGTCGTGTGCGTGCTACGGGGTGTGCTATGGGGTGTGCTGTGGTGTGCGTGCTATGGGGCACTCTGGGGCGCGCTGTGGGCTGCACGCTATGGGGTGCACATTATGGGGCGCGCTCTGGGGTGTGCTGTGGGCTGCGCGCTATGGGGTGCGCGCTATGGGGTGTGCGCTATGGGGCGTGCTATGGGGTGTGCGCTCTGGGGCGCGCTCTGGGGCATGCTATGGGGCGCGCTGTGGTCTGTGCGCTATGGGGTGCACGCCATGGGGCGCGCTCTGGGGAGCGCTACGGGGTGTGCGCTCTGGGGCGCACTCTGGGGTGCACTATGGGGCGCACGCTATGGGGCGCGCTGTGGGGCGCACACTATGGGGCGCACTCTGGGGCACGCTGTGGGGCGCGCTATGGGGCGCACGCTATGGGGCGCGCTATGGGGCACACGCCATGGGGCGCACGCTATGGGGCGCGCTGTGGGGCACGCTATGGGGCGCACGCTATGGGGCGTGCTATGGGGCACACGCTATGGGGCGCACGCTATGGGGCACACGCTATGGGGTGCACACTATGGGGCGCGCTATGGGGCGCACGCTATGGGGTGCACACTATGGGGCGCGTTATGGGGCACGCTATGGGGCACGCTATGGGGCGCACGCTATGGGGCACGCTGTGGGGCACGCTATGGGGCACGCTATGGGGCGCACGCTATGGGGCACGCTGTGGGGCATGCTATGGGGCACGCTATGGGGCACACACTATGGGGCGCGCTCTGGGGCGCGCTGTGGGGCACGCTATGAGGTGTGCTATGGGGCACACGCTATGGGGCGCGCGCTATGGGGCACGCTGTGGGGCACGCTATGGGGCACGCTATGGGGCACACACTATGGGGCGCGCGCTATGGGGCGCGCTGTGGGGCACGCTATGGGGCGCGCTATGGGGCACGCTATGGGGCACGCTATGGGGCACACACTATGGGGCGCGCGCTATGGGGCGCGCTATGGGGCACGCTATGGGGCAGCCCCCCGGCCATACCCGAAGCGCTGCACGCCCCCCGGCGGCAGCAGGGTGCTGTAGCACAGGTTGTGCGCCATCATGATGGACGGGTACAGAGAGCAGAAGTCCAGCGTCACGATGGGCACGTCGTAGTACCTGGGGGGCAATGGGGGGCAATGGGGGGTAATGGGGTAATGGGGGCAATGGGGGTAATGGGGGCAATGGGGTAATGGGGGCAATGGGGCAATGGGGGTAATGGGGCAATGGGGGCCAATGGGGTAATGGGGGGAATGGGGGGAATGGGGGTAATGGGGGTAATGGGGGTAATGGGGGCAATGGGGGCAATGGGGGTAATGGGGGTAATGGGGGCAATGGGGGTAATGGGGGCAATGGGGGTAATGGGGGTAATGGGGGCAATGGGGCAATGGGGGTAATGGGGGCAATGGGGGCAATGGGGCAATGGGGGTAATGGGGGTAATGGGGGTAATGGGGGCAATGGGGGTAATGGGGGTAATGGGGGCAATGGGGGCAATGGGGGCAATGGGGGGAATGGGGGCAATGGGGGGAATGGGGGCAATGGGGGGAATGGGGGGAATGGGGGCAATGGGGGGAATGGGGGCAATGGGGGCAATGGGGCAATGGGGGCAATGGGGGGTAATGGGGGCAATGGGGGGAATGGGGGTAATGGGGGCAATGGGGGTAATGGGGGCAATGGGGCAATGGGGCAATGGGGGGCAATGGGGTAATGGGGGTAATGGGGGCAATGGGGGCAATGGGGCAATGGGGCAATGGGGGGCAATGGGGGGAATGGGGGCAATGGGGGTAATGGGGGCAATGGGGGTAATGGGGGTAATGGGGCAATGGGGGGCAATGGGGGTAATGGGGGAATGGGGGGTAATGGGGGGCAATGGGGGGAAATGGGGGGGGGCAATCGATGGGGCAATGGTGTGACAATGGGGCCAATGGGGGTAATGGGGGCAATGGGGGTAATGGGGGCAATGGGGGGAATGGGGCAATGGGGGGCAATGGGGTAATGGGAGGAGTGGGGGGCAATGGGGCTAATGGGGGTCAATGGGGGCAATGGGGGGAATGGGGGCAATGGGGTAATGGGGGGCAATGGGGGTCAATGGGGCAATGGGGGGCAATGGGGCAATGGGGGCAATGGGGTAATAGGGGCCAATGGGGGCTCAGCCCCACACTCACCCCTTGAGGGGCTCAATCACGGTGGCCCCTTCGTAGTCCTCGCCCCCCTCGGCCTTCACCACCGGCATCAGCAACCCCTCGCTCATGGCCTGGCCCCACAGATGGGGGTCAGCGCCCCACAGGTGGAGCCACTGCCCCCATAGACAGCCCAGGGCCCCATTGGTAACACAGGGCCCCATTGATAACCAATGCCCCATTGATAACACAGGGCCCCATTGATAACCAATGCCCCATTGATAACCGATGCCCCATTGATAACCGATGCCCCATTGATAACACAGGGCCCCATTGATAACCAATGCCCCATTGATAACACAGGGCCCCATTGATAACCAATGCCCCATTGATAACACAGGGCCCCATTGGTAACACAGGGCCCCATTGATAACCAATGCCCCATTGATAACACAGGGCCCCATTGATAACCAATGCCCCATTGATAACACAGGGCCCCATTGATAACACAGGGCCCCATTGATAACCAATGCCCCATTGATAACCAATGCCCCATTGATAACACAGGGCCCCATTGATAACCAATGCCCCATTGATAACCAATGCCCCATTGATAACACAGGGCCCCATTGGTAACACAGTGCCCCATTGATAACACAGGGCCCCATTGGTAACACAGGGCCCCATTGATAACCAATGCCCCATTGATAACACAGGGCCCCATTGGTTACACAGTGCCCCATTGATAACACAGGGCCCCATTGATAACACAGGGCCCCATTGGTAACCAATGCCCCATTGATAACACAGGGCCCCATTGGTAACACAGTGCCCCATAGATAACCAATGCCTCATTGATAACACAGGGCCCCATTGATAACCAATGCCCCATTGATAACACAGAGCCCCATTGGTAACACAGGGCCCCATTGATAACACAGGGCCCCATTGATAACCAATGCACCATTGATAACACAGGGCCCCATTGATAACCAATGCACCATTGATCACACAGGGCCCCATTGGTAACACAGGGCCCCATTGATAACCAATGCCCCATTGATAACACAGGGCCCCATTGGTAACACAGGGCCCCATTGATAACCAATGCCCCATAGATAGCCCAATGCCCCATTGATAACCAATGCCCCATTGATAACACAGGGCCCCATTGATAACACAGTGCCCCATTGATAACCAATGCCCCATTGATAACACAGTGCCCCATTGATAACACAGGGCCCCATTGATAACACAGTGCCCCATTGATAACCAATGCCCCATAGATAGCCCAATGCCCCATTGATAACACAGGGCCCCATTGATAACCAATGCCCCATTGATAACACAGTGTCCCACTGATACCCAGCCCCATAGCCTCCACACCCCACATCCCGCCCCACATCCCAGCCCCACATCCCTGCCCCACATCCCGCCCCACATCCCGCCCCATAACCAGACCTACCACAGGAGCTACGCTGCCACCTTGGCCTGCTGGCCGTGGGTCAGGATGGTGCTGAGCGGGACCCCATAGGCCCCACACCCCACATCCCAGCCCCACATCCTGCCCCACATCCCGCCCCACATCCCAGCCCCACATCCCAGCCCCACATCCCCGCCCCACATCCCGACCCACTTACCAGCCCCTGCTCCCAGCCCCACATCCCAGCCCCACATCCCAGCCCCACATCCCGCCCCACATCCCAGCCCCACATCCCGCCCCATAGCCGCACCTGGCGCAGGAGCTGCGCCGCCACCTTGGCCTGCTGCCCGCGGCTCAGGATGGTGCTGAGCGGGACCCCGCAGACCCCACACCCCACATCCCAGCCCCACATCCCAGCCCCACATCCCAGCCCCACATCCCAGCCCCACATCCCGCCCCACATCCCAGCCCCACATCCTGCCCCACATCCCAGCTCCACATCCAGCCCCACATCCCGCCCCACATCCCAGCCCCACATCCCAGCCCCACATCCCAGCCCCACATCCCGCCCCACATCCCGCCCCACATCCCAGCCCCACATCCCAGCCCCACATCCCGCCCCACATCCCAGCCCCACATCCCGCCCCACATCCCGCCCCACATCCCAGCCCCACATCCCAGCCCCACATCCCAGCCCCACATCCCAGCCCCACATCCCAGCCCCACATCCCGCCCCACATCCCAGCCCCACATCCCAGCCCCACATCCTGCCCCACATCCCAGCCCCACATCCCAGCCCCACATCCCAGCCCCACATCCCAGCCCCACATCCCGCCCCACATCCCAGCCCCACATCCCAGCCCCACATCCCAGCCCCACATCCCACCCCACATCCCAGCCCCACATCCCAGCCCCACATCCCAGCCCCACATCCCGCCCCACATCCCAGCCCCACATCCCAGCCCCACATCCCAGCCCCACATCCCAGCCCCACATCCGCACCCCCACATCCCAGCCCCACATCCCAGCCCCACATCCCAGCCCCACATCCCCGCCCCACATCCCGCCCCAACTTCCCGCCCCACATCCCAGCCCCACATCCCAGCCCCACATCCCAGCCCCACATCCCAGCCCCACATCCCAGCCCCACATCCCGCCCCATAGCCGCACCTGGCGCAGGAGCTGCGCCGCCACCTTGGCCTGCTGCCCGCGGCTCAGGATGGTGCTGAGCGGGACCCCGCAGACCCCACACCCCACATCCCAGCCCCACATCCCGCCCCACATCCCGCCCCACATCCCGCCCCACATCCCAGCCCCACATCCCGCCCCACATCCCAGCCCCACATCCCAGCCCCACATCCCCGCCCCACATCCCCATCCCCGCCCCACATCCCCATCCCAGCCCCACATCCCAGCCCCATATCCCCACATCCCCATCCCCACATGCCAGCCCCACATCCCAGCCCCACATCCCGCCCCATAGCCGCACCTGGCGCAGGAGCTGCGCCGCCACCTTGGCCTGCTGCCCGCGGCTCAGGATGGTGCTGAGCGGGACCCCGCAGACCCCACACCCCACATCCCAGCCCCACATCCCAGCCCCACATCCCGCCCCACATCCCAGCCCCACATCCCGCCCCACATCCCAGCCCCACATCCCAGCCCCACATCCCAGCCCCACATCCCGCCCCACATCCCGCCCCATAGCCGCACCTGGCGCAGGAGCTGCGCCGCCACCTTGGCCTGCTGCCCGCGGCTCAGGATGGTGCTGAGCGGGACCCCGCAGAGACCCCACACCCCACATCCCAGCCCCACATCCCGCCCCACATCCCAGCCCCACATCCCGCCCCACATCCCGCCCCACATCCCGCCCCACATCCCAGCCCCACATCCCGCCCCACATCCCAGCCCCACATCCTGCCCCACATCCCGCCCCACATCCCAGCCCCACATCCCGCCCCACATCCCAGCCCCACATCCCAGCCCCACATCCCAGCCCCACATTCCAGCCCCACATCCCAGCCCCACATCCCAGCCCCACATCCCAGCCCCACATCCCAGCCCCACATCCCGCCCCATAGCCGCACCTGGCGCAGGAGCTGCGCCGCCACCTTGGCCTGCTGCCCGCGGCTCAGGATGGTGCTGAGCGGGACCCCGCAGACCCCACACCCCACATCCCAGCCCCACATCCCAGCCCCACATCCCAGCCCCACATCCCGCCCCACATCCCGCCCCACATCCCAGCCCCACATCCCAGCCCCACATCCCAGCCCCACATCCCGCCCCACATCCCGCCCCACATCCCAGCCCCACATCCCAGCCCCACATCCCAGCCCCACATCCCAGCCCCACATCCCAGCCCCACATCCCGCCCCACATCCCAGCCCCACATCCCGCCCCATAGCCGCACCTGGCGCAGGAGCTGCGCCGCCACCTTGGCCTGCTGCCCGCGGCTCAGGATGGTGCTGAGCGGGACCCCGCAGACCCCACACCCCACATCCCAGCCCCACATCCCAGCCCCACATCCCAGCCCCACATCCCAGCCCCACATCCCAGCCCCACATCCCAGCCCCACATCCCAGCCCCACATCCCAGCCCCACATCCCGCCCCATAGCCGCACCTGGCGCAGGAGCTGCGCCGCCACCTTGGCCTGCTGCCCGCGGCTCAGGATGGTGCTGAGCGGGACCCCGCACACCCCACACCCCACATCCCAGCCCCACATCCTGCCCCACATCCCGCCCCATAGCCCCCCCCATAACCCCACATCCAGCCCCACATCCCAGCCCCACATCCCAGCCCCACATCCCGCCCCATAGCCGCACCTGGCGCAGGAGCTGCGCCGCCACCTTGGCCTGCTGCCCGCGGCTCAGGATGGTGCTGAGCGGGACCCCGCAGACCCCACACCCCACATCCCAGCCCCACATCCCAGCCCCACATCCCGCCCCATAGCCGCACCTGGCGCAGGAGCTGCGCCGCCACCTTGGCCTGCTGCCCGCGGCTCAGGATGGTGCTGAGCGGGACCCCGCAGACCCGCGCCAGCTCGGCCTGGCCCGGCAGCAGCCGCAGGCGCTGCAGCAGCCGCAGGGGCAGCACCGCGTCCTTGAGGCAGTAAAGGGCCAAGCGGCGGCGGCTCTGAGCTGAGCCGCGCTGGGGGGCACGGACATGGGGGGTGGGGTTAGGGGGTGGGGGTGGGGTGTGGGGGGATGGGGGGGGATGGGGGTGAGATATGGGGCTGGGTGTGGGGTGGGGTATGGGGGTATAGGGGGTGTGGGGTATAGGGGTATATGGGGTGGGGTATGGGGAGGTAGGGGTGTGGGGTATAGGGGGTGGGCTATGGGGTATAGGGGGTGGGGGGGGTAGGGGGTGGGGGGGGGGTAGGGGGGGGGGGATAGGGGGGGGATGGGGGTGGGGGGATATGGGGGGGCTGGGTGTGGGGTGGGGGTACGGGGGTGGGATGGGGTGTGGGGGGATATAGGGGGGGTGGGGTATGGGGTGGGGTGTGGGGGGATGGGGGGGATGGGGGCTGAGATCTGGGGCTGGGTGTGGGGTGGGGGTATAGGGGGTGGGGTGTGGGGGTATAGGGGGTGTGGGGTATGGGGTGGGGTATGGGGGGCTCACATGTAGGTCAGTGATGATGCTATGGGGCAGGGCTATGGGGCAGGGCTATGGGGCAGGCTATGGGGCGCTCACATGTAGGTCGGTGATGATGCTATGGGGCAGGGCTATGGGGCAGGCTATGGGGCAGGCTATGGGGCGCTCACATGTAGGTCAGTGATGATGCTATGGGGCAGGCTATGGGGCAGGGCTATGGGGCAGGCTATGGGGGACTCACATGTAGGTCGGTGATGATGCTATGGGGCAGGGCTATGGGGCAGGCTATGGGGCAGGGCTATGGGGCAGGCTATGGGGCGCTCACATGTAGGTCAGTGATGATGCTATGGGGCAGGCTATGGGGCAGGGCTATGGGGCAGGCTATGGGGGACTCACATGTAGGTCGGTGATGATGCTATGGGGCAGGCTGTGGGGCAGGGCTATGGGGCAGGCTATGGGGGGCTCACATGTAGGTCGGTGATGATGCTATGGGGCAGGCTGTGGGGCAGGGCTATGGGGCGCTCACATGTAGGTCGGTGATGATGCTATGGGGCAGGGCTATGGGGCAGGCTATGGGGCAGGCTATGGGGCAGGGCTATGGGGCGCTCACATGTAGGTCGGTGATGATGCTATGGGGCAGGCTATGGGGCAGGGCTATGGGGCAGGCTATGGGGCGCTCACATGTAGGTCGGTGATGATGCTATGGGGCAGCGCTATGGGGCAGGCTATGGGGCACGCTATGGGGCACGCTATGGGGCAGGCTATGGGGCGCTCACATGTAGGTCGGTGATGATGCTATGGGGCAGGGCTATGGGGCAGGCTATGGGGCAGGCTATGGGGCAGGCTATGGGGGGCTCACATGTAGGTCGGTGTCGGTGATGATGCTATGGGGCAGGCTATGGGGCAGGCTATGGGGCAGGCTATGGGGCGCTCACATGTAGGTCGGTGATGATGCTATGGGGCAGGGCTATGGGGCAGGCTGTGGGGCAGGGCTATGGGGCAGGCTATGGGGCAGGCTATGGGGCAGGCTATGGGGCGCTCACATGTAGGTCGGTGATGATGCTATGGGGCAGGGCTATGGGGCAGGCTATGGGGCAGGCTATGGGGCGCTCACATGTAGGTCGGTGATGATGCTATGGGGCAGGCTATGGGGCAGGCTATGGGGCAGTGCTATGGGGCAGGCTATGGGGCAGTGCTATGGGGCAGGGCTATGGGGCAGGCTATGGGGCAGGCTATGGGGCAGGCTATGGGGCGCTCACATGTAGGTCGGTGATGATGCTATGGGGCAGGCTGTGGGGCAGGGCTATGGGGCAGGCTATGGGGCACGCTATGGGGCGCTCACATGTAGGTCGGTGATGATGCTATGGGGCAGGGCTATGGGGCAGGCTATGGGGCAGGCTATGGGGCGCTCACATGTAGGTCGGTGATGATGCTATGGGGCAGGCTATGGGGCAGGCTATGGGGCGCTCACATGTAGGTCGGTGATGATGCTATGGGGCAGGGCTATGGGGCAGGCTATGGGGCAGGCTATGGGGCAGGCTATGGGGCGCTCACATGTAGGTCGGTGATGATGCTATGGGGCAGGCTGTGGGGCAGGGCTATGGGGCAGGCTATGGGGCACGCTATGGGGCACGCTATGGGGCAGGCTATGGGGCGCTCACATGTAGGTCGGTGATGATGCTATGGGGCACGTCCTCCTTCTGCTCCTGCAGGAAGTGGGAGCTGACGGCGTTGAGCGAGTACGAGCGCAGCTTGTGCTCCCGGAGCAGCACCTGCGGGCCCCACAGCGACCCACGGCCATCAGGGAGACCCATAGGGACCCATGGGGACCCATAGGGACCCATAGGGACCCATAGGGACCCACAGGGACCCATGGGGACCCATAGGGACCCACAGGGACCCATAGAGACCCATAGGGAACCACGGGGACCCATAGGGACCCACAGTGACCCATAGAGACCCATAGGGACCCACGGGGACCCATAGGGACCCACAGGGACCCATAGAGACCCAGAGGGACCCACGGGGACCCATAGGGACCCACAGTGACCCATAGGGACCCATAGGGACCCACAGGGACCCATAGGGAACCATAGGGAACCACAGGGACCCATAGGGAACCACTGGGACCCATAGGGATCTATAGGAACCCGCTGTACCCCATATCCCATACACCACCCCCCACCCCACCCCCCCATATCCTATATCCCCACCCCCCATACACCCCATATCCCATCCCCCCCCCCATCCCCCCCCGCACCCCCTAACACCCACACCCCATATCCTATATCCCACCCTCCACACCCCACACCCCACCCCACATACACCGCATATCCCGCCCCACATCTCCCAGCCCCATACACCCCATATCCTATATCTCCACCCCCCATATCCCACACCCCATATCCTATATCCCCCCATACACCCCATACCCCACTCCCCATATGCCCCATATCCTATATTCCCAGCCCCCATACCCCACCCCCCATACACCCCATATCCTGCCCCACATCTCCCACCCCCATATCCCCCCACATCCCCCACACACCCCACATCCCACCCCCCATATCCCACCCCCCATCCCACCCCACATCCCGCCCCACATCCCGCCCCACATCCCAGCCCCCCATCCCGCCCCACACCTGCAGCAGGTCCATGACGACCCTGCCGGGCGCGCTCAGGGCCCTGCCCTCCCTGCGCCCCATACACCCCACATCCCAGCCCCACATCCCACATCCCAGCCCCACATCGCGCCCCACACCTGCAGCAGGTCCATGACGACCCTGCCGGGCGCGCTCAGGGCCCTGCCCTCCCTGCGCCCCATACACCCCACATCCCGCCCCACATCCTGCCCCACATCCCACATCGCGCCCCCCATCCCGCCCCACATCCCAGCCCCACATCGCGCCCCACACCTGCAGCAGGTCCATGACGACCCTGCCGGGCGCGCTCAGGGCCCTGCCCTCCCTGCGCCCCATACACCCCACATCCCAGCCCCACATCCCACATCCCAGCCCCACATCGCGCCCCACACCTGCAGCAGGTCCATGACGACCCTGCCGGGCGCGCTCAGGGCCCTGCCCTCCCTGCGCCCCATACACCCCACATCCCAGCCCCACATCCTGCCCCACATCCCGCCCCACATCCCAGCCCCACATCCCAGCCCCACATCCCAGCCCCACATCCCGCCCCACATCCCAGCCCCACATCCCAGCCCCACATCCTGCCCCACATCCCAGCCCCACATCCCGCCCCACATCCCAGCCCCACATCCCAGCCCCACATCCCAGCCCCACATCCCGCCCCACATCCCACATCCCAGCCCCACATCCCGCCCCACATCCCACATCCCGCCCCACATCCCGCCCCACACCTGCAGCAGGTCCATGACGACCCTGCCGGGCGCGCTCAGGGCCCTGCCCTCCCTGCGCCCCAGCTGCCGGGACTGGAACGCGGCCTCGCGCAGCTCCGAGCGCCGGCCCCGGATGCGGCCCAGGAACGGGAACGACTCCACCTGGGGGGCGAGGGCGCTGTGGGGCGCTGTGGGGCTCTATGGGATCTATGGGGTGCTATGGGGCTCTATGGGCTCTATGGGATCTATGGGGCTCTATGGGGTGCTATGGGATCTACGGGGTGCTATGGGGCTCTATGGGCTCTATGGGATCTATGGGATCTATGGGGCTCTATGGGGCTCTATGGGGTGCTATGGGATCTATGGGGTGCTATGGGGCGCTATGGGCGCTATGGGGCTCTATGGGATCTATGGAGCTCTATGGGGTGCTATGGGATCTATGGGGTGCTATGGGGCTCTATGGGCTCTATGGGATCTATGGGATCTATGGGGCTCTATGGGGCTCTATGGGGTGCTATGGGATCTATGGGGTGCTATGGGGCTCTATGGGCGCTATGGAGCTCTATGGGATCTATGGGGCTCTATGGGGTGCTATGGGATCTATGGGGTGCTATGGGGCTCTATAGGCGCTATGGAGCTCTATGGGCTCTATGGGGCTCTATGGGGCTCTATGGGGTACTATGGGGTGCTATGGGGCTCTATGGGCTCTATGGGATCTATGGGATCTATGGGGCTCTATGGGGTGCTATGGGATCTATGGGGTGCTATGGGCCTCTATGGGCGCTATGGAGCTCTATGGGATCTATGGGGCTCTATGGGGTGCTATGGGATCTATGGGGTGCTATGGGGCTCTATGGGCTCTATGGGATCTATGGGATCTATGGGGCTCTATGGGGTGCTATGGGATCTATGGGGTGCTATGGGGCTCTATGGGCGCTATGGAGCTCTATGGGATCTATGGGGCTCTATGGGGTGCTATGGGATCTATGGGGTGCTATGGGGCTCTATAGGCGCTATGGAGCTCTATGGGCTCTATGGGGCTCTATGGGGTCTATGGGGCTCTATGGGCTCTATGGGGCTCTATGGGGCACTATGAGCACTATGGGGCTCCATGAGCTCTATGGGCTCTATAGGCACTATGGGGCACTATGGGGCGCTATGGGGCTCTATGAGATTTTATGGGGCGGTATGGGGCACTATGGGCGCGATGGGGTTCAATGGGGTTCAATGGGCTCTATGGGGCTCTATGGGTGCTATGGGGTGCTATGGGCGCTATGGGGCTCTACGGGCTCTATGGGGCTCTATGGGACTCTATGGGATCTATGGGGCTCTATGAGGCTCTATAGGATCTATGGGGTTCTATGGGATCTATGGGCTCTACGGCGCTCTATGGGCTCTATGGAGCTCTATGGGATCAATGGGGCTGTATGGGGTTCTATGAGACTCTATGGGATCTATGGGATTTATGGGGCTCTATGGGTCACTATTGCACAAGCCATAGGTCACTATGGGTCTCAATGTCACTATAGGACAAACAGCATCACTACGTGTCTCTGTGGGTCAGTAGGGGCAGGCTACAGTTACTATGGTTCTCCATGGTTTCCGTATGTCTCCACGGGGCAGGCTATGGGTCGCTATGGGGCAGGCTATGGGTCGCTATGGGGCAGGCTATGGGTCGCTATGGGGCAGGCCATGGGTCCCTCACCTGGAGGACCTTCGCGCGCTGCAGCAGGTAGGGCAGGTCGAAGTTCTGGATGTTGTAACCGGTGATGATATCGGGGTCCACGATCCGCACGAACTCAGCCCAGGACTGCGATCAATGGGGTCAATGGGATCAATGGGGTCAATGGGGTCAATGGGGTCAATGGGGTCAATGGGATCAATGGGGTCAATGGGGTCAATGGGGTCAATGGGATCAATGGGGTCAATGCGGTCAATGGGGTCAATGGGGTCAATGGGATCAATGGGGTAAATGGGGTCAATGCGATCAATGGGGTCAATGGGATCAATGGGGTCAATGGGGTCAGTGGGGTCAATGGGATCAATGGGGTCAATGGGGTCAATGGGATCAGTGGGGTCAATGGGGTCAGTGGGGTCAATGGGGTAAATGGGGTCAATGGGATCAATGGGGTCAATGGGATCAATGGGGTCAATGGGATCAATGGGGTCAATGCGATCAATGGGGTCAATGGGATCAATGGGGTCAATGGGATCAATGGGGTAAATGGGGTCAATGCGATCAATGGGGTCAATGGGGTCAATGCGATCAATGGGGTCAATGGGATCAATGGGATCGGTGGAGTCAATGGGATCAATGGGATCAGTGGGGTCAATGGGGTCAATGGGATCAATGGGGTCAATGGGGTCAATAGGGTCAATGGGACCAATGGGGTCAATGGGATCAGTGGGGTCAATGGGGTCTAATGGGGTCAAGGGGGCTCTATGGGGCTCAATGGGACTCAATGGGCTCCATGGGGCTCTATGGGGCTCAATGGTTCTCAATGGGCTCAATGGGGCTCTATGGGGCTCAATGGGGCTCAATGGGGCTCAATGGGCTCTATGGGGCTCTATGGGGCTCAATGGCCTCTATAGGGCTCAATGGGGCTCAATGGCCTCTATGGGGCTCTATGGGCTCTATGGGGCTCTATGGGCTCTATGGGGCTCTATGGGGCTCTACGGGCTCTCTGCCCCACCTGGAGGAGGTCGCGCTCGCGCTGGAAGCTGATGACGGCGGCGCCGGAGATGGGGGCGCAGGAGCCCAGCACCAGCACCAGGCGCAGGAAGGGCTCGGCCTCGCCCTGGCGCTGCACCGCGACCCCCACCTGGATCACCGCGTCCTGCTCCGCCTCCGGGAAGATCCCTGCCAAAGGGAAGGCTCAGCGGGACACCAAGGGCGGCCAACGGCGACCAATGGAACTCAATGGAACCCAACGGCACCCAACGGCACCCAATGGAACCCAACGGCACCCAATGGAACCCAACGGCACCCAATGGAACCCAACGGCACCCAACGGCACCCAATGGAACTCAATGGAACTCAATGGAACCCAATGGAACCCAATGGAACCCAACGGCACCCAACGGCACCCAACAGCACCCAACAGCACCCAATGGAACCCAACGGCACCCAACGGCACCCAATGGAACTCAATGGAAGTCAATGGAACCCAATGGAACCCAATGGCAGCCAACGGCACCCAACGGCACCCAATGGAACCCAACGGCACCCAACGGAACCCAACGGCACCCAATGGAACTCAATGGAAGTCAACGGCACCCAATGGAACCCAACGGCACCCAACGGCACCCAATGGAACTCAATGGAACTCAATGGCACCCAATGGAACTCAATGGCACCCAATGGAACTCAATGGAACCCAATGGAACTCAATGGTACCCAACGGCACCCAATGGAACCCAACAGCACCCAACGGCACTCAATGAAACCCAACGGCACCCAACGGCACTCAATGGAACCCAACGGCACCCAACGGCACCCAACGGCACTCAATGGAACCCAACGGCACCCAACGGCACCCAATGGAACCCAACGGCACCCAATGGAACCCAACGGCACCCAATGGCACCCAATGGAACCCAACGGCACCCAACGGCACCCAATGGAACCCAACGGCACCCAACGGCACCCAATGGAAACCAACGGCACTCAATGGAACTCAATGGAACCCAACGGCACCCAACGGAACCCAATGGAACCCAACGGCACTCAACGGAACTCAATGGAACTCAATGGCACCCAATGGAACCCAATGGTACCCAATGGAACTCAATGGTACCCAACGGAACCCAACGGCAACCAACAACACTCAATGGAACTCAATGGAAGTCAATGGAACCCAATGGAACTCAATGGAACCCAACGGCACCCAATGGAACCCAACGGCACTCAATGAAACTCAATGGAAGTCAATGGAACCCAATGGAACTCAATGGAACCCAACAGCACCCAATGGAACCCAACAGCACTCAACGGCACCCAATGGAACCCAATGGCACCCAACAACACCCAATGGAACTCAATGGCACCCAATGGTACCCAATGGTAGCCAACAGCATCCCAATGGTAACCAATAGCAACCCAATGGTAACCAATGGTAACCAATAGCAACCCAATGGTAACCAATGGTAACCAATAACAACCCAATGGTAACCAGTGGTTATCAATGGTAACCAATAGCAACCCAATGGTAACCAATGGCACCCAATGGTACCTCCATGTCCCCATTGCCCCCCATTCCCCCCATCACGCCCATTACCCCCATAGACCCCAATCCCCCCACTGACCCCATCACCCCCATAGACGCCATCACCCCATTGGCCCCCATTCCCCCCATAGACCCCATCACCCCCATTCCCCCATAGACCCCCACCCCCGTTCCCCCCATCACCCCCATCACCCCCATTGACCCCATCACCCCCATTGACCCCATCACCCCCATTCCCCCCATAGACCCCATTGACCCCCATCACCCCCATTGACCCCATCACCCCCATAGACCCCATTCCCCCCATAGACCCCATTCCCCCCATCACCCCCATTGACCCCATTGCCCCCCATTCCCCCATAGACCCCATCACCCCCATTCCCCCCCATTCCCCCATCATCCCCATTCCCCCATCACCCCAATTACCCCATGCCCCCATCCCCCCCATTTCTCCCCATCCCCCCATCACCCCCATTCCCCCATCACCCCCATTTCACCATTCCCCCCCATCACCCCCATTCCCCATTACCCCTATCACCCCCATTCCCCCCATCACCCCATCACCCCCATCCCCCCCATCCCCCCATTACCCCATTGCCCCCCATCACCCCCATCACCCCCATCACCCCCATTACCCCATTGCCCCCATTGCCCCCCACCCCATTCCCCCATCACCCCCATCACCCCCATTGCCCCCCATTGCCCCCCATAGACCCCATCACCCCCATCACCCCCATTCCCCCCATAGACCCCATTCCCATCACCCCATTGACCCCATCACCCCCATTCCCCCCATCGCCCCCATTACCCCCATAGACCCCATCACCCCCATAGACCCCATTGCCCCATTCCCCCCATAGACCCCATCACCCCCATAGACCCCATCACCCCCATTCCCCCCATTGCCCCCATCACCCCCATAGACCCCATCACCCCCATTCCCATTCCCCCCATCACCCCCATTGACCCCATCACCCCCGTCACCCCCATTCCCCCATCACCCCCATTCCCCCATTCCCCCCCATTCCCCCCATTACCCCATTGCCCCATTCCCCTATTCCCCCATCACCCCCATTCCCCCATCACCCCCATTACCCCCCCACTTCCCCATTATCCCCATTCCCCCCATCACCCCCATTCCCCCATAGACCCCATCACCCCCATCACCCCCATCGTCCCCCCTCGCCCCCCGCTCACCCTTGCGCCCCTCGCACTCGATGTCCACGCTGAGGATGCGCAGTGGGGGCAGCCCCAGCCACTGCCCCTCGGGGGGGTGGCACCGGAGCCCCCCCCAGGCGGCGTCGGCCTCCAGCTGGCACCGGGACATGGGGGGCACGGCGGGGGGGGCGCCCCGCAACCGGAGCTGCCCCCCGGGCACCTCCACCCAGGAGCAGCCAACCAGGCCCGAGTCAACCATGAACCTGTGGGGTGCGGGGTGGGGTGTGGGGGTGTGGGTATGTGGGGTATAGGGGGTGTGGGGTATGGGGGGTGTGGGGTATGGGGGGTGTGGGGTATGGGGTATGGGGGGTGTGTGGGGTGT